CATCCATGTGCCAAGTTTCATTGAAATCCAATAAGTGGTTCTTCAAAAATCAGTGGAAAAGTCATAGAACAGCTTAAAATCAGTTAATTATCATGCAAATTAGGTAATTAATATTCATAGATTTTTACCCAAAACTAATCAAATCTGCGCACTAGTTCAGAGCATCCATGTGCCAAGTTTCATTGAAATCCAATGAGTGGTTCTTCAAAAATCAGTGGAAAAGTCATAGAACAGCTAAAAATCAGCTAATTATCATGCAAATTAGGTAATTAATATTCATAGATTTTTACTAAAACCTAATCAACTCTGCGCATTATCCCAGAGCATCTATGTACCAAGTTTCATCAAAATTTGATTAGCGGTTCTTGAGATAACGGTGGAACAAAAAAAGTGACATACATACATACATACATACAGACAGGGTAACTGCAAAGACTCCCTTTTGTGCTTCGCACACGGGAGTCAAAAATAAAATGACGTGCATCAGGAACCCGTAATGTCTAATGTATGTACCAAGTTTAAACGAAATCCACCCATAAATGCTTAATATTTGATGATTTCTTAGCACAAAAATGACCACCATTCGGCCATTTTGAATAGGATAGTCAAACCAATGTATCTGTTTATCAATGACATGATGTATAATGAATATTTAAAATTTGAAAATATTATCAGTCAAAACAATTCGGAAATATGGGTCTAGAAGCCCATTCATTAAAACAAAATGGCCGCAAGACAGCCATTTTGAATCCGATCTGAAAAATAAATGATGTGCATCAGGAACCTGTAATGTCTAATATATGTAACCAAGTTTGAACAAAACCCATCCATAAATGCCAGAAATGCTTGATATTTGATGATTGTTTAGCACAAAAATGGCCACCATTCGGCCATTTTAGAATAGGATCGTGAAAGCAAGTCAGAGATATGGTACGAGAACCACATTCATTAATACAAAATGGCCGCCAGTCGGCCATTTTGAATCTTATCTGAAAAACAAAATTATTTGCATCAAGGTCCCATAATCTCTAATGTATATACCTGTACCGAGTTTGAACAAAATCCATCTGTAAACAGCCGAGAAATGCTTGATTTTTTAGCACAAAAATGGCCGCCATTCGGCCATCTTGAATCAGATCATAAAACAAAATGATGTGCATCAAGGTTCTATAATGTCTAATGTATATACCAAGTTTGAACAAAATCCATTTGTAAACAGCCGAGAAATGCTTGATTTTGATGATTTTTAGCACAAAAATGAATCAGATCGTGAAACAAATTGACGTGCATATGTATAATATCATGTATGATGTATGTGTGAAGTTTGATTGTGATTGGTCCAGGCATTTCTAAGATACAGGTCCGGACGCACACACGGACGGAAACACAGGGGTCAAAACATAAGTCCCCGTTTTCGGACTGCGTCCGAACGTGGACTAATAAGTATTTTACAGTATATTTTCATTTACTTACATTTTCAGCTTGGCTTGATATGATGATGTTTTTACCTTTACACATAAACATCAAAGACAGTGCATTAGATATTATATTTTTTCTTGCTGTGGAGTCTCTCACTGCTGGTGCATATACTATTTCAAAATATACACCTCTCTCCAATGCCTATCAAAATTAAATATATAAATAATCTTCATTCTGATAATGTAACAATACAGTACCATTTTTCTTTATACAAAAACATACACAGTTCATTCTTTCTCCCTACCTCCATGTATGCTTGTGCTGCAGATTGTGTCAGTTATTTCACAACAAATCTTGTTTTCAATAATTTTACATTTACAAGGTATATTAATTTAAACAAAAAAATGCTAATTCAAAATACATCAATTGCAAAGTTGTGAAAGCGATGCATCTTTTCATCACGAATTCACAAAATAGTCCTGTTTATAGTCTGCACTTCCCTTCAAAAAATTGGGATAAAAATAGCCAATTTTTTTGAGTAAAAACTGAAAATTGACTCAATTTTATCTGTTGCCTCCAAAATTAGGGTTCACTTTCAGAAATATTGAAGAATATATGAAAAAAGTGCAGAAAAGTTTGAATGAGAAAATGTGGTGAAAAGATCAATGGCTATACCGGTACTATGTTTGCAATTTGATGTCATTTTAACAATCATTCAAATTTTGTATTTTCTATGTGTTGAATAATGTAAATGCAAATTTTGTGAATCAGTGAACATAAAATGACGGAGTGTCAGGTTCTTTTGTGTTCACAAATACCATAGAATCATGAAAAGTTCTATTAGTGAAAATTTAATGCATGGGACCCAAAAAAGAAGTAGTTCCATGAAATATTTTTACTACTAAAAACTGTTTACAGTACTAAATCTTGTGGCTGTATTAATTTTAATGATTAAAATAAAACATTCATATGACATTCTCAGTACAGTAATCCTATAGTGTACTTACAGCTTTTACTGGATGTATGCGAATCAACATTCTCAGTACAGTAATCCTATAGTGTACTTACAGCTTTTACTGGATGTATACGAATCAACATTCTCAGTACAGTAATCCTATAGTGTACTTACAGCTTTTACTGTATGTATACGAATCAACATTCTCAGTACAGTAATCGTATAGTGTACTTACAGCTTTTACTGGATGTATGCGAATCAA